ACGGGCCTCTGGGCCGCCTGCCCCTTCTTCCAGGACCTTCTTTTTGCTAAGGACCCCAGGCAGTGTCTCTGCTGCTTCGCAGGCCAGCCCCTGGCTCCGGGGAGGGGGCCCCTGGCCCCCGGTACTTAGCTCCATTTGTCCTTTCTTTCCCTCTTTCCTAAAACTCCGGAGGAGCGGAGCGCGCTGGAGGACCCCGTGCAGGTCTCAGGAGTTGAGGATCTGGGCTTTGGGCTCAGCCCTCCTGGGTGGGAACCCCGCTGGGCGCTGGGAGGCAGCCCGCTGGCACCTCAGCTCTTACACTGGGCAACAGAACTGCTGTCAAGTGGTCGTGAACCTTAAGTGGGATTATGTAGGTGCCTGCAGCTCCGTGGATGCTGCCTGCCGGAGGGAGGCACTGCCCGCCTCTGAAGGGGAAGTGGGGGCTTCGGAGAGGCAGCTCTGGAGTGTGCAGGCTTGGGGGCTGTGAGGGGGGGGGGCGCGGGGTTTCCTACCCTTTGTGGCAGGTTTTAGAGCTCTCCTAAAGAGGAGGGTCTGAATGTCCACTGTAAGGAGACATGGACAGCAGCGGGGAGAACTCCCCGTTTCTGGGAACTTGAGGCTGGACGCCAGGCCGGAAATCTGGGCAGTCTCTTCTCCAGTCCCCGAGGATCAGTCCAGGTGGAGTCTTCAGAGATCTCTTTTCGGGGTGCTGGGTCACCTGGTGGTTCCCTAGCAGCTCCTCTGGTGCCCCTCAGGCAGAGGGTCCGGCCCCAGCGGTGGGGAGTGAGCAGGCAGAGCTGAGGGACACCCACCCGTGGGCTGGGTCCCCTGCGAGCCCAGCCCAGCCTCGCACCTGGGAGCCTCCACTCACTCTCCCTCCGCTGCGCTGCCCCCCCCGCCCCCCCCCCGCAGACAGCTGGGCCGCACATCTGCCCACTGCTTCTGCAGCCAGGACCCAGCAGCGCCCGCCAGGCTGCGGAGTTGAAGTGCTCCCAGCAAAGGACCAGCCGGCCTCGCCCTTCAGCTGGAGGCCAAGCTAGGACTTGCTGGTGTGGCCAGGGACCCAGGAGTCAAGACCCTGGTCCCCGGCCGCCTTTTCTCCGGTCCCCAGGACCGCTCCTCTGGCCTATAGCCTCCACGTGGGCTAAGGCTGCGGGCGGCCAGGGAGTCCTCAGAACGCCGTGGACCTGGGCAGCCTCTGCGCTGGACAGAGGCAGGGTCAGGGAGCAGAGCCCGGCACCCCGGGGAGATTGGAGCCCAGGGCTGGCTCCCAGGTGGTGGGCAGCAGGTTGGCCGTCCTGGTGGGGAAGGCAAATTGCGGCTCCTGAGCCCAGTCACCAGAACCAGCGCAGAGAGAGAGAGAGAGAGAGAGGCAGAGAGAGAGAGAGGCAGGAGACTGGGGGGCTCTAAGCAGGTGTCCAGGGTGGGGGTGTGGGGGGCGCGCCAGCACTTCTGTAAACAAAGCAGCGGGTAGCTCACCTCGGGAGCTAGGGGCTGGCGGGAAGGCTGCTAAGAGAATCCCTGACAATTTCCTTCATAAAGATGCGATCTGAAGCATTTGATTTCCACTTTCACTCCCGTCCACCCCCGCCCCTGCCCCAGCACACGCACTGTCTCCGGAGACACTCAAATCGCAGCCATATGGGGCTGGAGGGGTAGGGAGCAGTTACCTTATTTACTGCAGAGGCTGCGCACTCCAACCCGACTGTGGGCGCCGGTGGGATTCGCGGATGGTTCTTGTTCCTGAAACTTTGTATTTACTCCCGAAGATGCCCCTGGGGAAAAGCCGTGATGCAACTTTGAAAGAAAACAGCGGTTGTACTGCAAAGAAGCGAGGTGTGGAGAATGTGGAATTGAACCCACAGAGGAAAGGAAGTTCAAGCGTGGGGGGCAGAACGCCTGTGGGCTCCTCTCTGAGACAGCGCCCCTGGGCGGCCCGCCAGCGACCCGGCAGCCCCGACGGCGCCCTCCCGCACCCCATGGCTCCCTCCTTTGCCCGCCTGCCAGGCCCGCTCCCACCAAGGCGCTGTCCAAATCCATCACTCAGACTGCCTCTCTCCGACTCTGGAGGGTGGGGGTCAACACTGCCCAGGGAGGTGTCTGCAGCCCCGCTCTTTAGCCCGGGTGAGTGTGCCTGGCAGGGGAGCCCCAGCCCCAGTTGGGGTCACTTTCCTCCCAGGGCTGCGTTTGTCTGTGGCTGTGGAGAACAGGACTTGGTGTGATTGTTCTCACATTGTTCTCCCGGATCGGATTCCACTCTGCTATGTGCCCTGCGGGAACCCCGACGTTTGCAAACTCAGACATCCCACCGGAGAGCTTTCTGTTCAGAGCAAGCCCTTTCGCCACCAAGCAATACAGGCAGAAAATACAGCCGCTTGGAGAAAAGGGGAAAAAAATGACTAACTACCTTTCCAGGGCAGGAGGCTGTGCGATGCTCGGGTTATTTCCCTGGGACCTCAACCCTCCGGTGGCATTTCTGCAAAGGAGGGGAGACGTGGGGAGAGGAAGGTGGGAAGAAAGGGAGGGAAGTGGGTGGGGGAGGGAGGGGGATAAAGGGAAGGAGAGAGACAGAGGAGGGAGGAGGAGCGCTAACTTGCAGCGTGAAACTGAAACCATGGACCGCTACTTGCCTCTGCAAACTCCGGGGTCTGTAAAGGGGCCCAAGGCAAACACAACCCTTGGGGACCCGGCTCCAGAAACCCTATCTGAAGGGAAATCGCCACTCTTCGTGGGCGCAGCGTGTAAGGGGGGCGAGGGCGGGAGGCGAGGCCGGTCCGGTCCACTACGCCCCAGGCGCCCTCCCTCCATCCTCGGGGTGGCCGCCCTGCCGGCGGGAGGGGCTCGGCCGGTCGGGGCTGGGGCAGCCCCGCGGGCTCGGCCCCGCGGGCGCGGATTCCGAGAAGGCGCGGGCGGGGCCAGCCGAGCGACCCAGACCGGGGCTCAGGGTGGGCTTTCTCTGGGCGGGGAAACCAGACACTTACAGGCGGCTGAGGCCGACTTTATTTTTACTGCCCAAACTGTTGGAAAGTATTTAAGCTTAAACAGAAACAGCTGTATCGCTGGCACCGGCCAACGAAACTATTTGTTACCGGGAATGACTTTTTATGATTAAGGACGCGGCCGTCGGCGGCCTCTCGCGGGCGGCCGGCGCGGGTCGCCGGGGCGAGCTGGGCGTCGCCAACTCGCCGTTCGTTAACAGAACAGCTAGAGCGATGCAACTCTTCACCCAGCGCCCCCCTGGCAAAGTTTGGCAGCCAGGCCAAACACTGGAACCCCGCATTTCCAGTGGCGGGGGAGGGGAGTGGGGGGAAGGTGAGCTGTGAGCCGCGCGGGCGCCGCGCGCCGAGGGCCGCGCCCCGCCGCCCGCTGCGCGCCCTACTGTGGACGGGAGACCGGTTTCCCACCCCGGGCATCCTTGGCCTTCGGAGTCAGACTCCCTGGCTCGCCCGCTTTCGCTCTCTTTCTCTAGCTCTCTCCCTCCCTCCTGCCCCCACCTCTCTCGGAAAGAGAAACCGTTCAGCTTCTAATCAGTTTTAACTAAATCCTGGGTTCCAAGTCGCAGGTGCTGTGACTTGCAGCCTGGGCGGTGAGAGAAAAGGGTCGAGGACACCTGGGCCCCTGAGCGAGCTGCTGTCCCGGCTGCCGCTCCAGCCACGGTCGCCTCGAGCGAGCAGCGCGGGCGCACGCGCCCCAGAGCACACGCGCGGCGTCTGCGGCCGGCCGTCCCCCACCCCGTCTGGGACCCTGCCGACCTCGTTCGCGGGCCCCTCTCCGTCCACCTGCACTGGACTTCGCCACTCCCCGCTCTGAGTTTTCTCTCTGGGAGGCTGCGGCTCACGTCGGGAAGAACCATGGGCAGGGAGAGGGCGGCGCGGGACTGGCCCGTCGCCCGGGGCAGGGCGGAGCGGGACGGCCCCGAAGGTCCAGGCTGGCCAGGCGCTCCACTCGCCCAAGGTGGTCGTCGATGCCCTCCCTCAGTACCCCCGGGCCCTGGGCAGGGGCTGCCTGGCTGGGGCTGGCGACGTTCGGGGCCGGAGTCTGGTGGGGACCAGGGGCACGGGCCGGGGATCGGCCGTGGACAGGAGAAGGCGCGCGACGTCCCCCATGGGGTTCCGGGGCGCGGGAAGACTGGGGGGAGTAGCCCGGCTTCCCTCGGGTCTGCGACCGGCTTCCGAGCGGGCGCTCGAGCCCGGTCGGCCAGTCGGGCCCGAAGGGTGGCCGAGGGCAAGGCTGCGCGACGGGAGACCGAGCCACACTGATTCGTTAGCGGGATGGGGATGGGGCCGGCGACGGCGGGGGAGGCCGTTGCCATGGAGACCAGGGGTCGGGTGGGTGACGGGGGAGGGTCGAAGGCGAGCGGGCGCGGGGCGCGCCGCCGGCTCTCGGGGTGCGGGCGCGGACCGCGGCGCCCCAGCACCTGTGCATTGTGCATTGTGCAGCGCGGGCGGCGGCGGGGGAAGGGCGCGCGCCAGTCCGCGGCGGTGGGGGTGGGGCAGCCAGGGTCTGCCGAGAGGGCGGGGCCGGGCTGACACCGCCGCGGGGGTCCCCGCGAGAGCCGCGGGGCGCGCGGTGCACTGGAGGGACAACTTGGCGGCGGGGGAGGGGGCCCCGGCGAGGACAGAGGGCGGGCGGGCCCCCTCGCGAGTCCCGCAGACTGACAGCGGCCGGGCCCGCCCTCCCAGGACGTCACTTCCGCCGCCGGCCCCCACCTCCTCGCGCTCCGTCTCTGGAGTCGCCTCGGACTCCGCCCCCTGGCGATTGGAACGCGGGTCACGTAGCAACGCGGGGGAGAAAGGAGAGGGGCGTGGCCCGGAGCTCGGCCAATCAGAGCGCGGAGGCGCAGGCCGACGGCCGCTCGGCTTTAGCAACGTCGTTAGCAACACGTGGGGCGGGAGGAAGCGCGGGGCGGAGGGGCGGGGGCCGCGCGCCGCGCGCGGGAGGGGCCGAGGAGGGAGCGGGCGCGGGAGGGGGAGGAGAACTGACGTCAGCGGGAGAGTATTATGGTCTGTCGTGCGCTGGCTGCTGCTTTTCTGCTCCTGGAAGCGGCCAAGGGGGAAGCGGCGAGTCAACATGGAGCTCTCGGCGGTGGGGGAGCGGGTGTTCGCGGCCGAAGCCCTCCTGAAGCGGCGCATTCGGAAAGTAGGTGCCCCTGGGCCGTGGGCCGAGGCCCGGCCGAGCCCTCCCCTCCCGGCCGGGGTTCCCTCCCCCTGCTGCAGCCCAGCTTCCCTTCCCCCAGGTCCCAGCAGCGGCCGCGGCCGCGGCGGCGGCGGCGGCTCTGAGCCCAAGCGCTTTCCTTAGACTTGCAACCGTGCACAGATTGCACGGGTGGGGGGCGGGGTGGGAGATGAGTGCCGGTGCATGCACTTTGTGCAGCGTTTCGTGCAGGGGGTGGTGCAGCGGGCGCGTGCCTCTTGCGGTGGGGTTTCGCGCATGCATTTGGTGCATGCATTTTTTGCATGTATTTCTTGTGTCCTCGTCATACGTTCCTCCTGGTGCACACACACACACACACACATCCCCCTTTGCATCTGCAGGGACGCATGGAATACCTCGTCAAATGGAAGGGCTGGTCGCAGAAGTAAGTAGGTTATATGCAATTTTCAGCCCCAGACTGTTATTGGGAGGTTTCTTTCTTCCTCTTTTTCCCTTTCCGTTGAAATGCAATACAATGCACCAAGAAAAGTTACAGACACACCCACCCACCCGCTGCTCTTTCCCTGCCTGGGACTGACGCGCTTCCTCCCGCCACCGCCCTCTAGGTACAGCACCTGGGAGCCCGAGGAGAACATCCTGGACGCCCGCCTGCTCGCAGCCTTTGAGGAAAGGTAGGGCCCTGCCCAGCCTCTGCTCAGGCAGGAGGTGGGGAATGGGAGCCCCCCCTTGTTTCTTAACTCACACATCCTTTCTCCCTACCCCCCTTTCTCCAGAGAGCGAGAAATGGAGCTTTACGGCCCCAAAAAGCGAGGACCCAAACCCAAGACCTTCCTCCTCAAGGTAGGGGGGCGCCCAGTGTGGGCACGAGTTCCCCGGGAGTGTGGGGAGGGCCTAGGGGCTGTGAGCCCCAGCGTCCACACAGGGGGGCCCAAGCAGCTCCTCGCCATGGGGAGGGAGTCCCCAGACAGGCCGTTTCCAGACGGTGGCAGGGCCAGGGAGGGTCATGGGGGGAGGGGTTCAGCTGCGCTAGGATTCTTTTGTGACCTTCCCTCAGCCACCCCCAAAAGGCCAGTAGTCAGATGTGCCAAGCACACTGGCTGCCTCCCGGCCAGCCCTCTCTCCCTGCACCCAGGGTCTGCCCCCCCTGCCCCCACCCCCCGCCACCCTGTGTGGGATCCCAAGGCCTAGGAGCAAGCGGCTGCGGGGGGGGGGGGGAGGGGGGGCAGGGCTTCTCAGTCCTGATGACTCTGTCTCTCTGCAGGCCCAGGCCAAGGCGAAGGCCAAAACCTATGAGTTCCGAAGCGACTCAGCCCGGGGCATCCGGATCCCCTACCCTGGCCGCGCCCCCCAGGACCTGGCCTCTACTTCTAGGGCCCGAGAGGGCCTTCGGAACATGGGTCTGTCCCCGCCGGGCAGCAGCAGCAGCACCAGCAGCACCTGCCGAGTGGAGCCCCCGCGGGACCGGGAGAGGGAGCGCGAGCAGGAGCGGGAGCGGGTCGCCAGCCGAGCCGAGGAGAAGCCCTGTTCTCCGGGAGACAGCTCCAAGAAAAGAGGCCCCAAGCCCCGGAAGGAGCCCCTGGACCCCTCGCCTCGGCCTTTGGGAGAACCTGGAGACAGCCTCGGGGATTACCTCAAGGGCAGGAAGCTGGACGACGCCCCTGCCGGGGCAGGAAAGTTCCCCGCCGGCCACAGTGTGATCCAGCTGGCCCGAAGGCAGGACTCGGACCCGGCCCAGTGCGGCATGGCCAGCCCCAGCCCGGCTGAGGCCACGGGCAAGCTGGCTGTGGACACCTTTCCGGCCAGGGTCATAAAGCACAGGGCCGCCTTCCTGGAGGCCAAAGGTCAGGGTGCCCTGGACGCTGGTGGCCCCCGTGTCCGGCATGGCTCGGGCACCCCAGGCTCCGTGGGAGGCTTGTACCGGGACATGGGGGCCCCAGGGGGCAGGCCCTCCCTCATCGCCAGGATCCCGGTGGCCAGAATCCTGGGGGACCCAGAGGAAGAGTCCTGGAGCCCCTCTCTGACCAACCTGGAAAAGGTGGTGGTCACTGACGTGACCTCAAACTTTCTGACCGTCACCATTAAGGAAAGTAACACGGACGAAGGCTTTTTTAAAGAGAAAAGATGAAGTGGTGGGGGGCCGGGGGCAGGAGTGAGCGGGCGCCCCGGCGCGAGGCTTTTAATTCCCGGGGCAGCGGCCTGGGCAGCCCCCTCCCCACTCCCACCCGGCCCTCACGCCCCTCCCCCCACTCAGTTTCGGTTGGAAAGATGATCTCTAGAGTTATATTTTCTATTAGATGTAAATATGTTATTTAAGAAAAATATCTAAATATATATATTTCAACTCTTGAAGTTGTTTTATTTAAACAAGGAGAGAGGCTCAGTGAGGCGGGCCGGGGCAGCCTGCGTCCTGGGCCACGCAGGCCGGAGAGGCGGAGGCGAGGCCGCCGGGGTCCGAGGGACCTGGCGCCCACCTCAGCCCTCTCCGCAGCCCCAGGCACCCCTGGAGCCCAGGCTGCTGCAGGCTGTGCTCTCTCCCGGTTGGCCGGCCTGGCCGACAAAAGCTAGCTCCCCAGTCAGAAAAAGGGGGTGGGGTCATTGTCCCACCCCTTTCTTTTTAGAGGTCAGGGAAGCTGTTAGGGAAAGAAGTGTTAAGTCCATTAACTTTTTGCGTGTGTCACCTTGGAGGTGAAGTTTGGGGTGGGGGTGGGGAGCGCAGGACCTGGCCAGGACCGCAGCAGGAAATGCGCTTTATGGGAGAGGTGCGTGTCCACGGGCGTGTGTCCGGCGGATCAAAGCTCCGGTTCCCTCGGTTCCTTCCTTACTCCGCAGAAAGAAAAGAAACCCAGCGAATCTGTTTACATTCCCGAAATGCCAGGATAAATTGGGAGGATTGCATGTCCCGCCAGCGCCGGAGTTCGAGACGGCTGTTTTACGAGAAAAGTGTTTGGGGGTGGACCGTGGCTTCCCGCGTCCTCCGGCTTCGCGGGGAATGGAGCCGGTGGCCCCCACCTGCAGGCTGCAGCGTCCC